ACTTTGTGGAGGGATGTTAAAAACTTCGGTTTCTATAAGTTTGAGGACATTGGAGTTAACACGGGGAAAAACATTGTTACGACGAATGGCAGACTTCAGTTGATGCAAAACATGTTCAATGGGATTAAATATACAGTGGTAAAGTGGAAGCCTTATCCAAATGTAGGTTCAAGCTTTGTAGAACCTCAATTAATTGCTCTTGGTATAATCTTCGTGAAAATAAATGTCGTTATTATACATGTAGATTTGGATTGTTGCTTTTGTGTCACATGAGGAAGGGGTTTTAGTCAACTGTCTACTGTGGTAACTTGCATTGTCTATTACAATTACGCTATTAGGAGGAATGTTTGGAACTAGTTTGTTTTTAAACCAACTTTCAAATAAATCAGCAATGGTGTCTTCATGGTAATACAGAGAAGATTCTTTAATATTTTTCGCAGACAGAGAAAGTCCATTTGGAATCCAACCATCTTTAGAGCCAGCATGCAAAATAGTTATTCTTTTATCTCTTTTTGATGGCGCGTTTGTTTTACACTTAATTTTTTTAAATATTTGAAAGATTCTAATTCCAATGATTGGATAACCCGCCATAACTTGCATATAAAACATACAACTTTGTAGGGTAAACAAGAATAAATTGAATATCTCTTAAAGCCATCCGGCCCTACTCAAAAACGTACCTCGACAACGTGTAATTCGGTTCACCCCGTATATACGTCCCACCCATCCTTATATTATCGTACAGAATAAAATTATGGTGACCCACACGTTATCCGACGGGTGCCTGAATGTATAATAAAATTCACTTCCTGCATTTTAAGCGGGCGTGCGTGTTATATTAAGCAAAAAAAATGTCGGTCGGTGCACTGGGGTCCAAGTGAGACCGCCGTTTACTTCGAATATTAAAAAAGGAAATTGGAAAAAGACGCTAATTTAACATTCTGTCTAGTGATTCCAGCGATTCAACACTATGAAAAATGGATGAATTTGCACACACCAACGACATAGTTTGTGGTATGTTTGCTGACATTCGAGTCTTCTTCTGGCCCTAGTATACGTTTCTCTATAAATTTGTTAATAACATTAGGCGACATGAGATTTATTTAGCTGTGCTTTACAATTTGCAAATGTAGCGCGCGATTTGCCTGATGATATAAATTGCTAATTAAATTTGGCAGCAAAGGGCTAAAAAAAAAAGAAAAATCTGGTACAACTAGGTACTGTTACAACCAAAAACTTAGCACGAAATTCACAGATACGTAGAATTAAGGGCAAGGAAGTAATTAACTCAAGGTTTAATTAGGTAGAAACGGATGTGAAATCGTGCATTTTGCTTGGTATGAGGAACTCTAATTTTACTTCTTACAAAACTTCTGGATTCCTCCTGCGTTGGTTTTTGTTGCTAACGTTTCGGCAATCACCCTGTTGGCTTCTGCAGAGCTTGACTGAAACTGGCTCGCAAATTTACACTGTATGGTCTGTTCATAGATATAAGAAAGTGAACAATTGCTTATGAATGGATGGTCATTAACATACAATGCAACAAGATTATTACCTAAAGTTTCGAATTTAAAATTGTGGTCCGTAATAAAAGATAATTTTATACCTACTTGTGTTTAATATTCTTTGGTTTCGTATACTACTTAGTTTAAGTTTATTAGTAATCATTCTTACTTCGTGTGTAATACAGCGTGTGTTGAATCGTGTGCGAATTATGCAAAATATGTGCGAGTCTAGTGTATCTCAGGAGATGCTCCCTCACAAATGTAGAACACACTATTCTATTGAGACTAAGGAAGTTATAAACAATGTTTACTTGACTCTCGTTGAACGTGGTGCCAGCAAGCAAGCATCTTAGAAGAAATCGCCACATTGACGAAAATTCCAACATCAACTGTATGGAAAATTGTGAATAACCTCATTTCAGCGAGGAAAAAAAGAAGCGATGCTGACATTTTCTCGAGTTTACCAGTTATACGGGGAACAAAGCGTGCCTATATTAGATATCTTAATTAGAAGGCGTGAAAAAGACGAAATCGGTATTAAATGTGGCAGAACTACCTTATGGAAGTGTATTCAACACATGGGTTTTAGATTTTTAATTTTTTTTTAATGGAATCTTTTAGAATTCGGAAATGGCCACTGGAATATCTAGCAAAAATTAGGATTTACAGAGAATAACAAAGGCCAATTATTTACTTGGATGAAACCTGGTTCGACACTTATGATACCCCGGAAAAGAGTTGGGTTGACTCAACTGGTAAGTGTAAAACAAACACGCCATCAAAAAGAGGTAAAAGAATAACTATTTTGCATGTTGGCTTTAAAGATGGTTGGATTCCAAATGGACTTTCTCTGTCTGAGAAAAATATTAAAGATTCTTTTCTGGATTACCATGAAGACACCACCGCTGATTTATTTGAAAGTTGGTTTAAAAACAAACTAGTTCCAAACATTCCTCCTAATAGCGTAATTCTAATGGTCAATCACAGTAGACAGTTAACTAAAACCCCTTCCTCATGTGACACAAAAGCAACAATCTAAAACTACATCTATAATAACGACATTTATTTTCACGAAGATTATACCAAAATACAATTAATTGAGGTTCTACAAAGCTTGAACCTACAAAAGGAATACGTCTAGGGCCTACAGTTTTAAGGCTTCCCCCTTACCACTGTATATTTAATCCCATTGAACATCAAACTCTTGACTGGAATCTTCGGCACTGTACTAACACACAATAACGCGTTTTACCACAAACCGAAACTCAATTTTACGTACTGGACGCGCGTTTCGCCAACCAAGTTGGCATCTTCAGGAGAAGATTAAAACTAAACTTAATAACAAATGCTCTCTATATATATACACATCAGGAAGTGGAAGAGGGGATTACGCACTGTTCACGCAACCAATCAGTGCGTATAATGGCCTAAATAGGATTGGACGTCTGAATAAGGCACTGAACAAGAACAGAGTAAAATATACAGGACGAATATAGTCCTCTTCTTATAAGAGAACGCAATGCAATATAGGAAAAACGAAAATCGTCGATGTTTTAAAGCGTTCTATTTTGATTAGTTAAATTGTAGAAAAGAGATGATTTCTTGCGCATTTTAAAATACATTAATTTTCTGGAAGTACTTCCCGACTTGGTTATATTCGTGTAAGGACGAATGAGACAAACGATTGAGGTTATGTTCAACAACGAGGAGTCAATTAAATTCCAAAGACAATGCGCAACTTTAAATAATCTTTTTTCGAAAACCACTCACTCACTCACTCAAATAGCACGAATCACATTTTTATTTTAAAAGGAAGGCGCTTCGCGGATGGAACTTTCGCAAATTCGATGTAATTTGATTGCGAATACACCCTGTATATAGGGTGCTTCACATCTCGTCGAACTTCAAAGTTACGGCTAACTTCGGTAAATATTAAAATTTGTACTGGTAATTGCAACTTAAAATTACATTTTTTCAAATATCTCGCGTCCCTTGTATTATAGACGAAACCTTATATTCTCTCTCGACACAGTTTACGATACCGTTCATATCTAACTATCACATCTATAAAAGTTTTTCATTTATCGCCAATATTTCATCCACAAAAGCGGAAATTTCTAGGATCTTTCAGAATTTTTTGCCCACAAACGACGTACCCTGTATATAATTCCAACAAATTTGAAATAGGGGCTATAATGCTGGATTTCCTTAGTTTCCTAGTATCCAAATTTTTCCAATGGAGTGAATATTTTTCAAGAAACTACTTGTTTTCTGAAACGATGCAGTACATGATAAGAGTAAATGACGTCATCGCATCTAGATAGACGAAAACCGTAAATACAAAAATTGTAGCCCTTGATACGGCCTATAACACTGTTTGGACTAATTTCGATTTATGGTTAATAATTTACTCTCTAAAAGAACAATTTTCAGGGTCTTTTAGATTTTTGTCTATAACACCTTGTATATAATCGAAAAAATGCTTGAAACCAAAGTTATAACGCCGAGTCTCCCACGTATTACAGTTGTAATTTTTCTTCGATCAGATGAATGGTTTTTTATGGATACCAAAATAACCAAAAAAAAAATCAAAAATTAAAAAATCACTGCGTTATTGTATTGCTCCCAATTTAAAGAGTCTCAATAAGGGCCCAGTCTGAAGCCGGTAGCTGCAAATTTGGAACACTTATTATGTTTTTTAATATGGCACGGAATATCGCGAACATCCTGGACAATACTTAAAATACTGAAATATAAAAGTTTTAGCTGTCTATATGGGTTATATATAAAAGAAACTGACATCTAAAACACAGATTTTAAATTATTGCCAATTTTCAATAATAGGGGGACCCATTTTTCAGTTTTTTTAAATTTGCGCATCCGGTACATTTTTGAAAAATTGTCAAGCCCTTGACTGGAACCTTTGGCACTGTACTAACGCACAATAACGCGTTTTACCACAAACCGGCATCTTCAGGAGAAGATTAAAACTAAACTTAATAGAACAAATGTTCTCTATATATATACACACCGGGAAGTGGGAGGGGGAATTACGCACTGTTCACGCAACCAATCAGCGCGTATAATGGACTAAATGGGATTGGACCTCTGTCCTTGTTCAGTGCCTTATTCCCTCTCTTAACAATTTCTAAGCTTTAAACCTTATAAAAAAGGTGTATATATATAGAGAACATTTGTTCTATTAAGTTAGTTTTAATCTTCTCCTGAAGATGCCAACTTGATTGGCGAAACGCGCGTCCAGTACGTGAAATTGAGTTTCGGTTTGTGGTAAAACGCGTTATTGTGTGTTAAAATTGTCAAGAATAAAAGATTATGGAGCCGTATCCTCTACGTCTTCTGGTTCAAGAATTTTTCCGGTCTTGTAGATGGTTTTTGAAAAACGGCCTTTTTTGTAGACACTTGCACACGCGATTTTTATTTTTTTTTTTAATTCTTCCCGACCCCCCAGCTCCCATTTTTAATACATTCCGTCAAAGGGCAAAAGTGCATATATGTGTCTTTCAGACACTTATCGTGTTTCAAAGCAATGTTCAAAAAACAGTCGAAAATCGCGAAAAAAAGATGAATACCGGCGTCGGATCGAGGCCATTTCCTGCAAGCTTGTGGGGCAAATTTCGATTTTGTAGCTCCAACGGTTCGAAAGTTATTCAGGAAAAACCAAAAGACGCGAACGGAGAACGGACAGACAAAAAAATTTTTTTCGACGCTGATCATTTCTGCACCAACAGCTTGCTAGCGATGCGTAGGATTTTTCGAAAGTACCAAGTAATTTATTAAGCCAACACTTACACACTAGAAATACATAAAACTAAACGTCGCAAGAAGTCATTTCCTGACGTTCGCGCTACAAGTACGTCCGTATCACAAAAATCCTTTGCCGCTGGCGTAGGTTTGCAACACGCTCATCAGTTGCAGTCGAACTTCCAGGTTGACGTCGTCAGGAAGCTTCTTCATAAACGGAAGCAGAGATAGGAGAAATTTACGGTTCCCCATGGGATCGTCGGCTCTCTCTTCTTTTTGCATCGCAGCCAATTCTTCCATCACCTTTGCGATTCTCTTCCCGGTTGGCATATCGGCATTGTTCGAAGAAGAATTGAACTGATCCGATGACGTCGACGGTATGTGAATGAACTGAACCGATTGGTTGGTCAACTGAATCGGGTCAACGGTTATTGGTTTGACGTCTTCCGTTGTCGAATCGTTGCTATCTCTGTTTTCTTCGACGAATACGAAGCTCGATGTGTTCCTAAAGAGATATCGAATCCTATATTTCCAAATTTTCCGGATCGTCATGTTGGCCTCTTAATAGCGTAAGCGCAGAAACTGGAAGAAGCCAACAGGACGATTAGCGAAAGGTCAGCTTTCGTAGCACCAAGCAGCTTTTTATTTTAAAAAGAAAGAACTTCGCGGTTTCTTGTGGCAACTGTCACAAAGTCGATGTAATTTTATTGTTCATGCACCCTGTATAAAGTGTCTTTCAAGTCCCGACGAACTTCAAAGTTACGGCAAACTTTGTTAAATATTTAAATTGGTACAAAATAAATAAGAACTAAAAGTTCAGATTTTCACGAAGCTATATGTTTTAACATGACAATTGTTTCGACAACACCGTGTCATTATCAAATGCAATATTTACAAACTACCTGCTACTATATATCCCGAAAAATGACAATAAAACCTTAATTAATGTTGTGAGAATTCAAGTTTAATAATGGAGAGGTATTTAAATGTATTTAAAGGTAATTAATGTAATGTCATTTAACAGCCACAGAAAGTTATTTTGAATTTAATGGACAGATTTACATCTCTGAGGAAGGTTTGATTATGGAAATGGAAAATATCATACTAGAACATCCTTTAAGTAAAGGTTTTCTATGGTGGTATAGATACGTGGATGATGTCTTTGCTTGCTTTGTTGGAACGGACAGAGAATTGGGGTCTTTTTTAAATTAAATTAACCCATTACATGATCGTATAAAATTCACTATCGAGAATGAACAGGATAACTCTATTAATTTTTTAGACTTAACTATTACGAAAACGCAAAACAAATTAGATATTTCCATTTACCATAAACCGTCACACAGCTCAAATCACCCTTATACACACAAAATGGCTTCATTTCACTCTTTTATACACAGACTTCTTAATACGCCACTCTCAACACAAAATTACAACAAAGAACTTAATATCATTAAACAAATTGCACTGAACAACGGCTACGATCCGTCCATTATCGATAAAATTATAAATAAAAAACAAATCCAGACAACAGTAAACTCTATTTATCCGAAACCTAATACAGAACACGAACAATTTGAAATAATTGCATACATAGGAGAACCCAGTGAAAAAGTTTCAAAACATTTGTCAAAATGTAGTTTAAAAATAGCTTTCAGAACTAACAGCGCAATAGGAAATTTTTTAAAAAACAATAAAACAAAATGTCCAATTGTTTAATGGATTTTCATCAAGTAAAAGCCATCTCAGTTCAATAAATTTTTACAAATAATAGGGTTGTCGAATGATATTTTTTCAACTATTTCGCGCGTCCTGTATAATCGACGAAACCTGAAACTCTCTCTAATTTATCAACAAAAACGGAAATTTTTAGGATGTTTTGGAATTTTTTGCCCATAAACGACACTCCCTGTATATAATTCAAACAATGTTCGAAATGGAGGTAGTGTAAGGTAGAGAAGTAGAGTAAGTGGTTTTCAAGAAAACACTTTCTGAAACCATGCACTAAATGACGTCATCGCGTCTAGATTGGGGACGAGAAATGGCTATTTTCATTTGGCTTTTTTCAAATACCTCGAACAGCGCATGTGGTCTATAACACTGTTTAACCCAATTGGCCACATTTTTCAACAATTCTGATTCATGGCTAATAATTTAATTTACGTATTGATTCACGGATGGAGAAATGTATTGCGGGATATCATCCGTTCGCTTGTTGAACTCCGAATGGAATCCTGCAGACGTTTCGCCAAAATCTCACTTGGCATCTTCAATGCTCGCGCTCCGAAAACACTTCGAACACAGTGTTTTTTTTTTTAATGAACCGTTTTAACGCCCCGACGTAATTAAAATTATTCAAACCTTGTGTATATAGCTTTCTTTTATCGGACGCAAAAAAATTGCTTTCGTGAAACCAACCTTGTTTCTCTTTGTTTATTGGTTTAAACCTTGCCGATTGTGATAAACCGGCGTCGGTGGGAAAATAAAACACCGCGTAATTGAGTAGATTGGTGAATTCCTCGAATGGCTCGTATACTGCGTAAAAAATTCTAAACGTAACGATATCGAAGTACCATTGGTTCGAATTTAGCAACGACGCATTACTCCTACCTTCGTTCCTTTTCCGGCCATATTATTGGGAGACGGAGTGAGTAATAGCGGCAAAAAGTCTCCGTACTAGTTTCAAACGTTTCGTGAAACAAAATAAATTGATTCCTAGTCTGGTGATTCATTTTCCGAATCGGAATGTTTTGCGTTTTTTAGCGACTTATACGTTGCACTTTGTGAAGTTCATTATGTCATTGGTCGGAAAAGTTATGAGAAAATGGTAAATAAAAAACTTGTAAAAGTTATCAAAATTTTCCTTTAAAATTCTTCAACTTTTTTATTAATACATACCTAAAACCTATTAGTTTTTTCAAAATAGTAGTTTTCACGCTGGCACAAAAGTTAAGCGCCGTTATTTAAAGGTAGATCACTCATATCTGATATAGGCGTTATTCAAATAGAACGTAAAAAATATATGCAACGTAATTTGAACTAGATGCTATGCTATGATATTTGAATATTTTTTTTCTTCTACTATTGAATAAATTCAATTGAAAATCAGAAATGGATTTAAAAAAAATGCTTGCACACTTATACATCACATTTTTTTTTACAAATTTTGTTGATACTTTTGTTATTTGGCCGCATGGTCAAGAAACCCTAGTAGATTTTTTTAGTCATTTAAACCCTATACACCCTAACATACGTTTTACCATTGAGTTGGAAACCATTGGATCATTCTGTGGCCCAAAAATCATCGGTTATCAACTCTCTTGTCTGTATGCGAGCCAGTTTCAATCAAGCTCTGAAGAAACCAACAGGATGATGGGCGAAACGTCAGCACATGTTATCAAAAATTTGGGTTTTATTTGTTTTATTTATCGTATTTCGTATATTTTGGACTTTCTGTATGCTTTCAATATCAATAGAATTCAAAAATGGCTCATAAATTTTTTGAACAAAATTAAAATGGGGATTGATATCGAGTTATAATTATCTGTAGAAAATGCTGGTTTTTAAATACCCAAGAACCTTTTTTAAACTTTAAAAATATAAATTGTTTTTTTTTGTGAAAAATCGCGAACATTACATATAAATTTAATTTTCGTGAAAAAAGAATTTTTCCCATGTTAATTAAATGGGAAACTAAAATAAAAATAGCGACCCCTTAGAGTTGAGCTACAGGGCTCACCTTTGGTGAAGATTTGTTTTATATCAAAAAGAAACATTTGAGAGGGTAAAAGCTAAAAAAAAATAAAAATATTTTTTGAAGCACCCTAATATATATTTTGATATTTTTAGAATCCTTACGAAAATAAATGTAACTTTTATAGAAACTGCTTATTCGAATTTTGTGTAGTTTGGACAGAAGTTAAGATTTTATTTTTTTTTCCCAAAATTCACTTATTTTTAGAAGACTTCATGAATGATGAATTATCAATTAAATGTAGTAGAAGTGTAGTGTGTTCAGAAAACAATCTCCCACTCGCACCTAAACTTAAGTGAGTCTCTTTTGATAAAATTATATAATGAATCACCACCAAAATTAGAATGTTCAACATTTTTAGTTCATTATATCAGTAGTGCTTTAAACTAGACGGGACATATCGATGAGGATAATAGTATACTTGACTCTTGATTGTATGTTTTAAGATACATTTTTTTTCTTGGACTAACCAAATGTATTAAATTTTGTCCTTATACATTTTATATTATGTTTATATTATATATATTGTGTAGTATAAGTGTGCTGTACGCCAAATGTTATATAGTTCTCTATTGTACCTCTCGACAATGTTATTATCCTCTCTGTAGGATTATATAACAATAAAGAATTTCTTTCTCATTATAACATTCTATACCTATATTCGATCTTGAAAAAAAAGTACCTGCAGTTAACTTTTCAAAAATAAACAAATAAAAAATAAATTTAACTTAACTAAGTTCAAAAAAAAATATAAATAAATCAATTGGATTATAAAAGATCTTCTATGTGCTGTTCGTTCACTCGAATGCACTTTCCTTTTGATATAACCCAAGAAATAAAAATCAAGTGGCGTCAAATCGGGCGAATGCGGAGGCCGTTGGGGCCAACCCGTCGATCTTCAAACATTCAAAAATTTGAGAACTAGGATTGAACAATTGATATTTTAATTTTCGTCAAAAATAAAATACCGCACCCGATTCATTTCAATCCACTTCAATTTTTTTCAGAATAGGTATAGGTAACGTTGATAACACTTAAATTACATGCTGTTCCATAACAAAAATGTAAACTTAATCCTTTTTCTTAACATTTTAGCACAATTTCAATTTTTCAAGATCAAATATTTCAAAAACGGTCAGACATAGGTATTACGACGTTAAACACAAGATATGTTTGAAATAGCAACTTCTGGTTGAGCCGGAAAGGGCAGGACGTTGAAAATACTTTTACACCTTGCCTCAAAAAATTGAAAGGCGTGTCTAGATTGCACCTCTATAAACTTTTAATGAACAGGTTGGATGAAAAATCCTGTCTTGCATATTTATATTTGTAAATAAAGCTTTTGCAACTTTAGTAATCCATAATGAATGTAATATATCGAAGGGTGAAGATCCAAGAGTGCCACAAAATGTATTTATACCAAGAAACTGGAGACTGGAAATCGAGTGAGGTTGGCAATGTGTGACCTTAGCAAGGTCTTCGACTGTATCTCGCACGATCTTCTTAAACAGAAGCTGTTTAGGTATGGATTTCGGGACGAAATGCTTATTTATTAGACAGGGAACAGTTTGTGGGGGATGACGGACGTAAATCCTCTTTGGCGAAGGTCTCCAGTGGTGTCCCCGAAGAGTACGTCTCGGCCCTGTATTTTTTATAGTGTATATTGCTAATCTATGCCGTTTTTTGGAGTCTGCCAAATGTGCTGAATTGGAATGACCTGCCCAACATAATTGAGAACTGGAGAGCAATGCGAACAATTGGTTTATTTGAAATTGAATACGGACAAAACCCAGAAAATATTCTTTCCGCTAGATACAACAAAGAACGGCAGTCGGGTAAACTACTTGGCATTACACTTGATAGTAGATTTGACTGGAAAGATCATATTTTATCTCTTAAGCGAAAACTATCTTCCAGCTTATTTGTCCTTAGAAAAATTCGGTAGAGCCTAGACCAAAATGCCCTAATGACAGTGTATTATGCTTTATTTCATTCCCACATACCATACAGCACAATATTATGGGGAAACTATGTCAATGCTGTTCAAATATTCAGGATACAGAAAAGGACTATAAGTATTCTTGCTGGGGCTAAGCACAATGAACACTGTACTCTATATTTTAAAAAATATAAGATAATGACACTGCCCTATATCTTTATTCTCCATACACTTTTAGAAATTCAAAAACATACTAATATATTTGAAGGCGTGTCTCATAGTTTCCAACACGTGCAAAAAAATCTTATAAGAGTTCCAAAGCACAGATTTGTAACATCAGACAAAAATTCTTTAAGCATTAACTTGTACAATATGCTGCCAGATAGGCTTTTGAGGTGTTCAAAACAAATATTAAAGTGTTGCTTATTGAAAATTCTTTCTATAGTATGGACGAGTACTCCAACACAATAAAAAATCTAAATTAAAATCCTTGGCTTGCTGAAATGTGTGAAGATCATAGCATATCTTGCACTTTCTGTGTTAGTGGTGTTGACCTTTAAATTTGTTATTGTTCACTACTGTGTTATTTATAAATACGTTTTTTTTTACACCCTGAAATTGTCTTATTCTTGTACAATATGTGGTTAATAAAAAATTCTTCTTCTTGTTAAGGAATTATTAAACGCACCTTAATTTAGTTTAAAAAAAACTCTATTTAAAATATCGAATCATAATCAAAATTGTTTTCTAGGTTTTATTTGGCCCCTTGTAACAAATATTTGCTAACTAGTGATAATAATTCCTGCCGTAGCAATTAATGCTAGTAATTAGTAATTAAGTAATTAATGCAATTTAAATGTTAAATTAAAAATCTATTTGAAGAAGAAAGTGAAAATTTTTTCTTGCTTACCTTCTTTGATAGTAAGGCGCCAGGAAGGAAAGATGATCGAAATAAATGTATTTTTTCGATTTAGCTCCGGGTGGGCCTGAATCCGATGCTTCCTTGTTACGTAAACTTCTGGAAAAATTGTCACGAAGAGATTTCCATTTTACCTGCATTTCCCGCACTAGAATGGAAAAAAATATATATAAACTAGGAGGATTTATTTCTAGTGAACGAAATTTGAGAGGTTATATTTTTACGCAATTAATAAATCAGTTTCAATTTTATAATTTTTGCATTGTACTTTTGCAGAATTCCGCCACTTTCGCGATAAGACGTATGCTTTTAATGCCTCGGCAGGTTACAAAATCAATTTTTTCGTCGTATTGTGATATTAACCTTATAAATCTTTAGCAAAAATTTCCAACACCTCATTGTAACGCAAAAAACCTCTAAAACCAGAAAAATAAATTAACTCTAATCATAAGAGCATATGGGAGTACATATATGTATGTATTCGATGAAAAAAAAGTGAAATTTGACTTTCTTGGCAAAAGTTATACCGGGTGAAACAAGAAAGTGGGATCACTATCTACAGTAATTTTCGAATTTTAAATGGCACAACCTATTTTTCTTTGCATTTTTGGATTTAGATCATTCTATGTAGGATAGGATGGTTTTTCTCTATTTTTTCGTTTTTTTAAATATTTATTTAATTTTTGAAAATTGTGTCTAGGAGGCTGTGACCATCATACATACTATTTATTGGGTCACCGGATTATGGAAAACATTGTAAATTAAACTTTTCTTTACTTGTCTAATGGCAAATAACATTTAGTGTAATGAAATGTTAATTTTTTAGGATAATCCATTTTTTTCAAATAGAACCCTAGTGGGAACAAAAACTTTTTAAACCCGGTACTTTTTTTGCAACATTTTGACGCCAAAATTTTCAAAATCCGTTAAAAAATAAGCTCACAGGAGGGAAAAAACCAGATCAGTAAACACATTTTTATAGATACAAAATATTATATTTCTTTGCTTCTATTCATCATCGATTCGGCATGATTTGACATGACATTTTTATCTGATTGTATATTTTATATATATATATATATATATATATATATATATATATATATATATATATATATATATATATATATATATATATATACAGAGTGTTAGAAAAGTACGCTGCCAAATTTAGACTCAGCAAAAACCGACGCAGGAGGAATCCAGAAGTTTTGTAAAAAGTATTAAAGTAGTTTCTTTGAAAAATTTTTCAAGATACAGGGTATCTTGAAAAATTTGCATTTTGGACCTACGTTTATACAAATTTTTCGTCTTAAAATTAACGCAAGGAATCGTTTCTTAAAGTTTTAGTTATATTTATATTATATTATGTTTATATTATATATGTATACTACTTTATATTTTAGTACACTCTTCTTTGACAATTCCGAAGAAATAGGATTTTTTATATGATTTCAAAAAATGCACTGACTGACAAATAAAAATATGTTTATGTTGATTTGTTGATGATTGAACTATTGTCCAAGTCATTATGGTTAAAATGGTTTTGAAAGAATATAAATATAATGCATTTAAATGTCGTAAAACTCAAAAACTTAGCGTAGAACAATGTCACTACTAGAAAAGGCTGTAATAAACAAAATGCATATTGGTCTTTAAAAAGTCCTAAACAAATACAAGAAGTAAAAATAAATAGATCAAAAGTTAACTGGAGACACAGCCCGACTTAACCTTAATCGTTTTGTTTGCAGAGGCAATAATAGTAAGGAGAGATGTGTTCCGCAAAATGGTGCAGCAATATTTAGAATAGTTATAGAATTTTTTACTTTAGTATGTCTTGTTATTTTTGGTGTTTTTGTTCTACTTTAATTTGTAAATAATTATTGATGTTGCAGTCAGTCACGAGTGGACTAAAATATAAAGCATGCTATATCATTGTAATCGGAATAAGATATTCTATTAAACACCTATGTAATATACAGGGTGTTCAGTTAAAAAATATACGATATAGGCTTATTTGTCAGAACATTGATAGTGTTTTGTTTTATACGTCACTTGGCTACTAACCCCACATTTTGTTTTTTTTTGTTTACCTTCGATATCTCTAAAAACAAAAAAGTTACGGCCAATTAAAATGTTATCAAGATAAAATGAAGATTAGAGGCACGCGCTTCCGGCCTGATGACGATCGCAGGCCCGACAATCAAACGAAATAACCTAAAATATAGACGGACCGGGACGTATTTTAACTGCAGCGACGTCAGCCACGCCGTTCGAATACACTCAAACACGCACAACGCGAATACCCTCACCGACGGCTTCTTTCTCGTGCAAATTGAAATTCATCCAGCGATCTTTGAAGAGGGCGACTCCGATCTCGCCCCAGGCGTTCATTTTCACCTCCTGATTGCCGTGGGCCACCTTGAAATCGTAAAGACACGGCCTCTTTTTCACTTCCTCTATCAGTTCCAGCGCGTTGATCAACGGTTTACTCATCTTGGAAAAGTTGCGACTTGCAACGTTAACGCACGTCGACGCTGGGATTTCTAACCGCCTTCGCTCCGCTCACTGACGATCGTTCGGCTCCGCGTTCGGCATTCGTCGGCTGCCGGTAAAGTTTCGTTCAGAGGTGAAGGTCCTGCGTCCGGCGGTTGACGCAGTCGCGCGTTGTCGTCGTCAAAGTTGAGCCTACTATGATGCTTCGAACGCTTCGACTCGATCCCGACGTAGAAAATAATTAAACGTTTTAAATGATGAACCGATAACTGGGACCAATTTACGTAAACACTCGCAATTATACTATGGTACGTCTCGCCGTATGACGCGTGTGTTGGCAACGGTGCTTATGTTAGGTTGGCAGCGACTCGAAAACTGACAGTTGACGTCTTGTAATTTTCGAAAAATTCGATTTTTCGAAAGTATCTACGCTCGTATAAAAAATGGGATAAACATTGGGTCAGCGTCGAAAAAAAGACTTTTTTTGTCTGTCCGTTCTCCGTTCCTGTCTTTTGGTTTTTCCTGAATAACTTTCGAACCGTTTCGAAAAAATCCATATCGAAATCGTTATTTCGGGGGCTGTCAAGACGCGATGACGTCATTGATTAATACGGCGCACTGCATGGTTTCAAAAAAAACTCATTTTCTCGAAAACCATTTACTATTTTCAAAAAATTCGCGTGGAAAGTCCAGGGCTATAACTTCTACTTCGAACAATGATTGCATCATATACAGGGTGTGTCGTTTATGGGCAAAATATCTAAAATATCCTAAAAATTTCGGTTTTTGTGGGTAAAACATAGGCGATAAATGAAAAACCGTTAAAGATGGGATAATTTTATTTGAACAGTATCGTAAAGCGTGTCGTGAGAGAGTTTCAGGTTTCGTCAATTATACAGGGCGCGCGATATTTGAAAAAATATCATGCGACAACACTATTACTTGTGCATATTTTATTATTTACCGATGTTTACTGTAACTTTGAAGTTCGACGAGATGTGAAGGTCACTTTATACAGGGTGCATGCACAATTAAATTACATCGATTTTGCGAAAGTTTCGTAGTGATCCGCAGAAGTGATCCGCGATTTTTTTTTAATATCTTAAGTAGGTTAATGAAAGATGTAGGTTTTGAATATGTAAAGCGTGATCACAAAAGTACCAGTTTCGTCGTAGTTTGAAGGCTATTAGGCTTCAGGCGTTAGTTTCAGTATGCGAAGTGCCTGGAGTACACTCCAGAAGTTTTTTTTAAATGTATATATAAAAACAATTTGATTCTGCTTATTGTGAAAACATACAGAAACATAACGAAAACGTATGAAAGATATTTTGTCAAAACTTATTAATTGTATTAAATATCGGGGCAATTTGCTCTAGGAAAGAACAATTTTCAGGGCCTCTTAGATTTTTGTCTTTAATTGAAAAACCCTGTATATAATCGAAAAGAATTTTGCCGATCGGATTTATAGTTTTGGACAAAATGATTTTTTTTTCTAAACCAAAATATCCCAAAAAAAAATTCAATTCATATCGAAAATGTGTGAAATAAATTTTCTAAAAAATTATTACTTGAGTATATGTTTATCTATGGTACATTGTTGTAATTTTTAATAGTACACCCGATTAATTAAATTAAATTCTTTAAAAAATATTTCATTTTGAAACTGCCATCTTCTCGAACCAACTGATTTTCAATGTTATTCTTTTTATTTTTACTTTTAATAACTTCCTATTTAGTTTTCAGCAAAATAGAACATATACATATTCATAGGCTAAAAGAGCCAACTATAAGAAACGCTACCACCAACTTTTTAAATGACAATAAAGGATTTGCTACCTGGGATCAGAACACAAAATGGGAAAAAGAAAAGTTGGAACAAAAAGAAATAGTTGATAGGGTGCCAAAACAGAAGTGGATGACACAAGTAAATTAAAAACACTATTCGTAACAAAATCCGCAAAGCGAAGAAAAACTGGATGAAGGAAAGGTGCAGAGAAATAGAGGACCTGGAACGCAAATCCAGTAGCTTTAACATGCACAAAAAGGTAAAGGAAGTAGTTGGTATTGGATCGAAAAGAGACTCAGGTATTTTTTGAGAAACGAAAAAAATTCAATAATTTTGGATATCGAGAATAAGCTGGAGATCTGGAGAACTTATATAAAGCAGCTTTTCAATGACCAACAAGCAACTGCCTACGAGCTAGCAATAACCGAGAACCCACTTCTAATAACAAGAGATGAAATTGACCACGCTATAAGGATAGCAAATGCACGATTGGCTTCTATCTACTTTTATCCCAATCCCAAAAAAATCTCGAACATATAAATGTAATGAGCCATGTTCTGAAAATACTCCTAAGAACTGAAACCTCTGACACACAATTTCGATTCCGCAAAGGGCTTGGAACCCCGGAAGCTATTTTCGCCTTTAACGTTCTTGCCCAGAGATGCCTAGACGTCAATCAGGATCTATATGTATGCTTTGTCGATTATAGTAAAGCGTCTGATAATGTCAGGCATGAAAAACTAATGGAAATCCCACAAAAACTGAACATCGACTATCACGACATGCAGATTATATCAAGCCTGAGGTCAAGCCGGTAAGGTCAAAATAGATAACGCTCTCTCCGAAGAGGTCAGCATACGGAAGGGTGTCAGACAGGGGTGTAATAAATGAAAATAAATAAACAAGACTCAAATGATGGCGATAACAAGAAGGAAGCAAGCAACAGGTCAGCTCATCGTAGACGAGAAATCAATTGAACAAGTAAGACACTACGAATAACTTGGCGCCATTATTAATGAAGAAAGAAAAAGTCTTAATAAAAAGAAAAAGCTATTGACGTCTCCGCACCTATCACTAACAGTAAGAACAAAAATGGTCCAATGCTATGTATTTCCCGTGTTGCTTTATGTCTTGGAAGGCTGGACGCTGAATAGAGAAACCACAAGGAGGTTGAAAGCTTTTGAGATGTGGCAAAGAACTCGAAATAGTCTTTACCATTAAAAAACGCAAACTTGAGTTCCTTGCACGTATATCACGTGCCACAAGATATGAGCTGCTGAAACTCATTATGGAGGGCAAAATTTTATTTAGACGAAGTGTAGGGCGCCGAAGAATCTCTTGATTGCGCGATCTTCGAGAGTGGTTTGGTCTAGCGTCAATTGAAATATTTAGATCAACAGTATCAAAAGCGAAGGTAGCAGTGATGATCAGCAACCTCCAAAGGAGAAGCTGATACAGAAAGGAGATTTAGTTTTCAATTTAAAAATTTAAGAGTTTAAGTGGAGCAGCTTTTGCTAGACTTCGCCTCTTCTCTACTGTATATTGGAAAGAAACAAAGAAAAGTAACAATTTTTTATTATTTTTTAATATAATCCCCCCCTAACTTGAATACACTTATTACATCCCTTTATTAACAACTCTAACAAAAATATTCTTTTGGTTTGTCCGCAAAATGAGCTAAAATAGCCTCTTTTAACTCAACTTCGTCGTTAAGCCGCCGTCCAAACAAATAGTAGGCGCTGGGGGCCATATCTGGACTATAGGGAGGATGGAACCCACACTCTAAAATGGCAGCTTGTGCAACACCAACAGTATGGTCAGTTTTATGTAATTTTTATGCAATTTATGTAATAATGTTGGGTAATATTTACCATGGACAGTGGTATTAGTTTCTTTAAAATCTATCAAAAGAATTCCTTCACAATCCCAAATGATCGTGGCCATCACCTTTTTTGTTGACTGGCAGACTCTGAATTTTCTTGGAGGTGCTTCACCCTTACGACGCCACTCCATTGATTCTTTTTTCGATAGAGGATCATAATAGAGAACCATAGTTTCATCTCCCGTCACAATAGTTTCTATCACAGTCTTCGGATCCGACCCACAGAGTTCCAAAGATCGCGCACACTGGACACGGCGTTGTTTTTGGATAGCCGAAAGGTTTTTAGAAACCCATCTTTCACTACAAAATACGAATTAGAACTTTGGCCGTACACACCATCCAGCCTTTCTTTAATAGTTTTAGGCGTTAACCCTTCTTTTGTCAAAAATTTTATGACTGCTCTATACTCAATTTGCGTTATTTGCGACATTTTTTCGGACACGTCTTGTTTAAAATGCTGTCAATAAAAAACTATTTGACGCAAGACTTCATTTCTTTTCGCAGCCTACTAAGATATATATTTAAAAGAAGACAAAGTTTAATTGTGATACTGGAGCTGCATCTGTCAGGCCGGGAAATTTTGGCGCTAACCTCGTCCGACAATAATGGCAGTTTATTATTATTATTATGAATCCGTGCCACAACTATTCTTATTTAGCGAATTTTTGGGCGGCGATTTTGATTTCGAGAGCGCGTTTAAAAAAAAACCGACGGATCTCACACGAACGGAATTCTTTTAACCTGCCGCGGCATTCATAAAATTTTGAGTGACAGCTCAAAGTAGTGGAGCTTATACGGGCAGGACCGAATGTAAATCTTCGTCGGTCACCGGCTGCGAACCATTTTCGACCTTAAAACTGGGACGCCGTAAGGCCCACTATTCCGAATCGCGATTCGGTTTCTATAGGGGTATTCATTTTCGAGTTTTTGTGTTTCGACAAAGACGGGCAGGTATAAAATACGAGGTGCAATTCTGGGCTCCTTTTATTGGGTTTAATTCTAAGAATCGGGGATCTTGTAAAAGTATTACGGAATAAAATCTTGGAGAATGACCCGGACGTGTAGTATCTGCGTCCGAAATCAAGTATTCCGGCCGAAAGTACCTCGTCGAGACTCAAAATCGATGGGAATTTGACAATGCACTGGCCATTTTCAAAATGTATTAATATTGAATTTGAAATAAACAAACGCTATTACTTTGACGGCAATTTTAACAATTTTTTCATTATGCTTCGATTGCATACGTATTGCCTTTATTTCGTTTCATTTCATTTCATTTATTAGCATGTTACAAACATAGAAAATATAATATGAATTAACAATTTTACAACATAATGTGTTTTGTAGAGGTGAACTTTATTCACTTGTAAAAAATCTGTTTGTTCTCGTAAACCTAAGCTAGACACTTAAGTATATAAACGCTTGGCAGTGTAAGGATTTTAAGCTCCGAAAATTTCGATCTAACATCCTCTATCT